ATCAAGAAGAGCTGCATTGCCTGTGGTCATAACAGCGATGAGATTTGAGGCAATGTTCAGTGGAACAAAACCGTTGTTTTCGCCATTTTGTTGTGTTCTTAGATCACCAATGTCTAAATCACTCAGCTTTTTGTGATGCTGCAGGAAGTTCTTAAGCATTGTAGCATTGTCTTGTTGTTTAATCTGCATTGTCTCAATAAGGAAAGATGTTTTGAGTCGGAGAAGCTGTGAGAGAGACTTAGTTTGAAAAGTGTAACTCTGAGGTCTGCAACAAAGTGCTGCAACTTCTCCAAATATGTCTCCACAACGTAGAGTGCCTAAAACAGACTCTCTCTCCATCTCTGAGTCGATGATCTCAACTTCTCCTGATACAATTATGTAAACATCATCGGGCGCTTCGTTCTGCATAATGACATCCTCTCTTGGTGGTATATACTCAGCCTTCATTTTTGAAACCTAATCACCAAAACCTCTGTTTAGAAAACTTATCCAACAAGCCAAAACTCAACCAATCATGTCACCACTCACCATAAGAAGAAGTATTTCTCTTGAGACGCCTTTGAAGAGGTAAACTTTTTCAACAGATGGAAGAAAAAGATGTTGACAAATGCTTTTGTAGATAGATTTTGGGAGCTGGTCAATAAGATGTTGCTGGTTTAAGCTCTCTGCTTTAAACCTTAAACACATGTAAGCCAATATCTGGTCTTTTAATCTAGGAGGCAATCTGTTTCTGTTAACAAAGTTTGACGCTGCTTCAATGCTATTCCTCTGCACCACCACAACAACAAGATCTTTCTTAAGCAACAATACAAAGAGAACCGAACAAATTTTTGTATAGAGCTTTGAGACTCACAAATTCCATGGTACGACGAGTCCCTTCCACAACCAAATTAGTCATGTTACCAATAAGGTAAGCAGTGAGGCCAAGATTGAATAACATGTAGACTGTTATGAATACCATCTCAATAGTGTTGCTTGCATGGAGATCTCCATATCCCACAGTGGTCATTGTTGTGATAGACCAATATATAGCCGCAATGTATCTGATGGAAAGACTTGTCTCAGTGAAATTTGGGATCGCGTCAGTCCATGTTTTTCCTTCGTGTGGATATCTGTCTGCTATTAGGTAATAGCTGCATCCAGCACAATGCACTAGAAACAATGTCACCTGTGAAAATACTCAAACCTCATCATGTTGTGCAACTACAAAGATATGTGATCTTGTTCCTTCACTTATAAGTTATTTACTCACGGATAGAAGTCGAAGGCAGCGAATCCAGAAATAGCTGTATCTTATGTCCTTCTCTAGTCTGAAACAATTCGAATCATAGGATCATCTTGTTACTTTCTCAAAAACGTTTGATCAGAGATATGGCATGGAGGCATAGGGAATTAGATTACCTGGTGAAGAGGTGTTTGACGCGTCGAAGTCGCCAAAATCGAAGCAATCCCAAGAGATTACAAGTGAGATTCAACTTGGATGTGCCAGTGATTAAGTATCCAATTGCGTCAAATGGTATAGTTGATGCAACATCCATCAAGAACCATGTTGAAAGGTACCTTTAATGAGATATTAAAATAGCATTTAGAGAAAACTAACACATTTTATTAAAAAGCTTTCTTTTCACCAAATATTATAAGTGGAATCTTTCTGTGCTTTCCATAAACAGAAATTTATCTAACTGATTAAGAAAATAAAAGAATCACATGGTGTGGGCTCAAGATTCACCTAAACCTTGTCTTCTTCCACTTAGAAAAAGATATCAGATCAATTCAAAAAGGTGAAACTGAGATCATGAACAACAAATATACTGACCTCACTGCAATCTGTTTAGGTTCACGGACAAGAAGCTGTGTTCTTTGGTCTATGTAAGCAACGAAAAACGTCAAGACAATGTCAACCGCGAAGAACAAGTCTACGATGTTGTCCGCGATACAAAGATTCCTCTTTGGTGATGAATTCAGAAATGCAACTTCAAAGGGATAAACCCACGCAGAGTATGCTACTAAAAGCACCATATAAAATTCCCAGCACCTGAACCAACCACACATAGTCACCAGTTAACTTGTTTACGTTATCTTTAAAGATAAACAAGACAAAGATATATTCTAGTTAATGCATTATCACTAATTCAAGCATCCTTTTATGTCACTGCATTTTCAGGTACCCTATGGTGCTCTGTTTCATAAAGAAAATCACTATGGATGGTACCTGTATCTTGAGTCCATGGGTGAGATGATCCAGCCACTAGACCTGATGTGATTCTGGTTATAGCTTGCAACACCAAGTGGAGGAAGAATAAGTTTTGACAGATTGTTCAAGCTGAGAGAGGAAGCATCATACTCTTCTTCTCTCCCTTTTCCTCGATGCTGATGAAGACGCCGAAGCTTCATGTCTGAGGATAAGTTGCAGTGAGATGCTGCATACTTGAGCTCCATTATATTTCTCCTGAACAAAGAAAAGTTAGCACTAAGAACAAGAAAGAGAGAGAGGTTTTAGTAGATGATATAATAATTGCAATGAAGAAGGAGTTTGTGGTTTGTATGATGCAAACCGTACGTGGTGGTGGTGGTCCTATTTGTTAAGATTGAAGTGAAATTGGGTAAGCTTTTGTGGGGAACACAAGTTTTAATTTTGGAGGGATCCAACACAATCAATAAGGAAAAAGAAAATTGATTGATTTATGTTTTGGCGATAAGGTAATGAAGTGTGAAAGATGTGGCCCCCAAAAGATAGAGAGAGGTAAGGTTGAGTAAGAGAAGTATATGCCAAACGTGGCAATTAGTAGCCTTAAGGGTCCCAATGTAAACTCTCCATTAACAACTTTAAACTCTATTGAGAAGGAGATTAAGAGAACATGCTAATGCTTTGTTTCCACATACTAAGAGAATGTTGTGTACACTTATTAACATTTGACTAGCGGGAATGTGAAGCAGAAGAAAATGAGAGATAAAGGAATTAGATTCTAAACCGGGACCATTTTATAGGCGAAAAGAAAGGCGAAATATTTCCTTATACGTGTAGTCATCTTCGGTATAGTATTCATCTAGATTGATCATATATTCTTGATTTAGCTTTTGAAGCAATCAAATGGTTAGCTTTAAGAAAAAAGACAGGGGCAAAGAGGAATGACATTGTAACTAACCGACCTGTTTGTCTTCTGTTATAGGAGAAATGTCTTTAAAATCCCATAAAGAATCACACTGCCTACTTTGCTCCTTCACCATGTTGTTGCCTAAGTGCTTCTTCCAAGATACTTTACTGAAATCTTTTACAAATTGAGGACAGAACCAAAGCTTAATGGTGGTCAAACCAAATTTGTCTGAACAATTGTAAAGTAATAAGAGCAACAGCCATTGGTAAGCAAATTTACTTCGGTCAATACTACAGAAACAGAACCCTAAAATTTGGAAGTCTATTCGAAGATATAAACCCTAACCTGAAAATAAACTTGAAGAATCCCTAAATGTAGTCAGATTGACGTCTACGACGATCGGAAACAGAGCTATGGAGTGGGACACGTGGAAGACTGACGTTCAATGGCGGGTTTCTGTTTTTCAAAAGCGCAAAGAAGATGAAAAGGAATCAAGGAACAGAGAAACAGACCGAACCAGGAAAAGTTTGCTATCCGATCCTTTTATTTCTAACTATCTTTAATTTGCCCCCGATTCTTATTGAAGATCTTAAAAGACCTTTTATTAAGGGAATCTTGGAGCAAAAAAAAACCAGTTTTTTGAATATTATAAAAATCCGATTTTGATGGAGATAATGTTTTATAATCTGGATTATCCCAAAGAATCGAAATTTCAGAACAGTGAGATAATAAGAGAGATGTTGAATGGGAAAATTCCCAAAAAAAACTCAAACTAATTTTTATTTGGACGTTTAATACCCAATTCTTTTTGATTGGAATAAAAATACATCATCTAATTTTTTGTGGTCTTAAAATACCTTGTATATAAACTATTGGTGGAATCGTACCTGCAAGTTAACAGCCGTTAACGGGCGTAACGGAATTATTTAACGGTGTTAAATTTTGAACTCATATATTTTAATTGCTATATGCAACCTGTTTTTACCGTTTTTCGGAAATAATGTTATGGCTTATTGGTAACGTGTGGCTTCGAGGTCCCAAAGGACTCGGGTTCGAGACTGAGTTAATGCGAGTGTTTTTTTTTTTTTTTTTTGGTCATGTTACTCTAACCCTAGCCGCCGGGGAATTGGTTTCAGAATTCCGGCGACAGTTCTCGGCTATTGGGGATAATTATAACCGTGTCTGGGTAATAAAATCCGATAACGCAGTCTCCGAGCAAGAAGACACGATCTTCCTCCTTCGAGATCGGGAAATCGTTCTTCAAGACGAAGCTTTGCTTCAAATTCAAGACGAATCTTGTCTCTACTCCGCGAGCTCTTGCCACTTTTCTCAAAGCACAGAGGAGCTCCGTCATCCACCACCGTCTAATCGGCATGAGACAGCGACAAAGGCATCAAATAATTGGTGGTCGGCGGCTAGGGTTAGAAAAAAAAAAAAAAAAAAAAAAAACTTGTGTCTACTCGGTGTCGAACTCGAATCTTAATGGGAATTTGGAACCAGACGTTACCAACAGGACACACATCATTTTCGTAAATTAATGAAAGCAGCTTGGATATATCGATTAAAATATATGAGATCAAAATTTAACACCGTTAAATAATTCTGTTACGCCCGTTAGTGACTGTTAAGTTACGGGTACGATTTCACCAATAGTTTATATATAAGGTATTTTAAGACCACAAAAAATTAGATGATGTATTTTTATTCCAATAAAAAAGAATTGGGTATTAAACGTCCAAATAAAAATTAGTTTGGGTTTTTTTCGGGAATTTTCCCGATGTTGAATCCTATATAATTCAAACTTTAGTAAACAACACATTTTATCTTTAAAATATTGAGCATGCCGGTACGCGTGACACATGTTATATTTTATTTGTTATGGACATATAGTGATAATGCTTGAATATTTGTGTCAATTATAGGCGAGGTGGATCACATCGTGGAGACTCATAACTAGAAATTAATACGTTTCAAGTAGTGAAGAGTAAATGTGTTTGATTGATTGAGCCTCTCCCCTCTCTATCTCAAGTGCTATAAATTAAGAAACCCTCTTTTGCTAACAAAATCACAAAGAGAGATCAGCAATGAGGAGCTTGAAGTTGAGAACAGTTTTTGTTGCTGCAATAGTCGTTTGTCTCTCTATCCTCTTCCTATCTCCCACTGGTACGTAAAATCAAGATCTCTAACTACATAGATATTCGCATGTTTTGTAAATATGTGTGTTGTACTTGTATGGACAGAAGTGGAGGGAAGCTGTGACTTCCCATTTGGTGCGTGTACCCCTTTCCGTGATTGCAAGGAGAGTTGCATCAAGTTCAAAACGAGGGCTGGACAGACTTTTTTTGATGGCAAGTGCCGTCCGAGGGATAGACCAAGTGTGTGGACGGCTTGCTTCTGCTGCTATTATGATAGTATCGGTGCTCAATAAGAAAGCATGCGATTCCAAAAGATAGAAGCGACATCACTCTCTTGTACTTTGCTTTTGTTTCGCGTTGATTAAGTTTCGAATAAAGGTTGGTTTTTTTTGTGACAATTCGTGAACAACAGAGGGTTGATAACTCAAGCTGCTACAACATACACGACATCCAAAAATGTTCCACTGTAAAGAAAATTATAATGTGAACACCAAAACTGAAAACTGTAAACTTGTCTTTCAAAGTTATAAACCTCCCAAGGAAGAGAGAAACCATTACAACACATGGGTGGTGCATAAAACAGCAAAAACTAGAGGGCAAAAGCAAAATCATTCTTACATGTTTTTGTCAACAGAGTTTATTCAAAATACTTCTTAGTCTTGGAACCTTACAACATACCATAGGTTGTATGTATCCTCTTCTACTTCTCCCCTGTTTTCACCATCATATACACATTATGGTATACACACTAGTAAAAGGAATCAAGCCTGTGTGGTTTCTCCTGCTGCTGCAGCACCATTTGTCTTCACACGCTTCTCCTTGTAGTCTTTCACAGCTGCCTTGATAGCGTCCTCCGCCAACATACTGCAATGGAGCTTGACTGGTGGGAGAGAAAGATGCTTTGCGATTTCACTGGCAAAATAAATCACAGAAAGAAAAGCGCACATTCAAATTAGTTCTTCAAATATTGAGAAACTCCATGACAGAAATCACAAAGTTTACTTAGTCTCAGATAAAGAAGTCTGGTAAACCTTATGTACCAATACTAACCAGTGACCATTAGAAACCAAGTCCAGAGACTGAATTCCTCAAACAAACTAACAGCCATGAAATACAGTAACTGGTATGTCAACAAACAACGAGTGAATGTACTACATTAAACAACTCACTTATGCTAATAACTGCAAAGCATGAATATGAACACAGAGCATACGAACCAGTAACCAACATATACCAATAGACAAAGCCCAGTGACTGAGTTCCTCAAAACAAAATAACAAGTATGAAATAGAGCAACTGCTATGCAAACAATCAAAACCAAACAGTCAACACTAGTTTGCGCAACGCAACAACTCACAGCAGATTATGTTAATATTTGCAAAACATGAACACAAGACATCCTTATCCTGGGAGGAAGTATGAATGCCAGATTATGAAAGAGACAAACAAACAGTACTTACGTGTTCTTGATGGTCAGGACATCATCCATAGCTTTGCCTTTCACCCATTCAGTGGCTGAAAAAACATAAATCAATCAACATTAGATATGACAGAGAGAAGATAGCTCAAGTTGCACCCACATAGAAGATAAGCCAGAAACTGGACCAGGACAATATGACAAAAGGGAAAAATCGTTCACAATGACTTTTACAAATTCACTATAAAAACGTTTCATTTCACAAAATCTGACCAATTCATACCCTAATTTGGTATTTACGGCACCAACCCCAAAATCTGGACATGAACACATCAATTTGAAACCTAATTCCTCAATTTGAGTAAGAACTAATCAAAACCCCCTAATTTCTCTAATTCAATCCTCAATCGAACAAAATATGAAACGAGTCAACACAAAACGAATTAGAGGGTAAACATACCGACGGATGAAGAAGCGATGGCGGAACCACAACCAAAAGTCTTAAAGCGAGCATCAACGATTTGACCGGTCTTCTCATCGACCTTGATTTGAAGCTTCATCACATCGCCACAAGCAGGAGCTCCTACGAGTCCCGTACCAACGTTGGGATCATTCTTATCGAAAGACCCGACGTTGCGGGGGTTATCGTAGTGGTCGATGACGTTCTCATGGTAGGATCGGAAGATACCAACAGACCACGGCGTTGATTGACGTGACGTAAGCCCTAGAGCCTTCTTCGCAGCTTGCTTGAGCATCATCGAGTTTTTTAGGGTTTCGAAGAAATACTTTTGCTTCGCGGATTTTGGAATGAGAAATGAATGAGATCGGACTTTTTCTTTAAGGGTTGTGAGAAGAAGGCGGTTTGGTTCAGACAGAGAGATAAACTTGGGGACACGTGGACGGTTTAGATCGTTCTAAGATATTTCTTTTTATTTTATACTATATTTTTCCTTTTATTAGCTAACTTTCTGTGCGGGACCTCATTGATTTTGATAGAAGAGATTGGAACCCCCTGTTACTTGATGAGCATTTCTTTCCCGAAGACATTATCAAAATTAAAAAAAGAAAACCAGTGGTGGATCTTGATGATTTCTTTGTGTGGAAACATAACAAGAATGGCGATTATTCAGTAAAATCGGGTTATTGCCTGGCTGGTGAGATTTTTAGAGAAGATATAAATTCCCAAGCAGCTTTACAACCTTCGATTAATCCTCTAAAAGCTCAAGTCTGGAAGTTAACTACCGACCCAATAAGTTTTCATGTGGAAGGCCTTAAGTGGTGCTTTAGGTGTCACATATCAGCTATTACACAGAGGCATGAAACTGGATGGTAGATGTCAGGTGTGTGGGAAGGATGGTGAAAGTATCAACCATGTATTGTTTGAATGTCATGTTGCTAGACAAATCTGGGCTTTGTCGGATTATCCCTCACCTGAAGCTGGTTTTGACAAAGGTGCGGTTTTCTCTAATATTCATCATTTGCTTATTAACAGAGACAACAAGACTTGGCCTCACCATTTAAGAAAGAGCTTCCCATGGATTTTATGGAGAATTTGGAAAAATAGGAATCTTTTGTTCTTTGAAGGGAAAAGATTTGATGCAAGCCAATCAGTGGCAAAGATTCGTGAGGATGTTGGAGACTGGTTTTTGGCGCAGAGATTGGAAAGGACTGGTTCTCCGATTACTGTAGGACAGGTGGTTCCTCTGACTGCTTCATTTGTTTCTTCTGTTGAGGTTCATGATCTGCATGAGCCTTTACCTATTTGGAAACCACCCCTCAGATCTTGGCTGAAGTGTAATATAGGGGTATCTTGGTCGAATAGGAACAACTTGGCAGGGAGTGCTTGGGTGTTACGAGATGAAGAAGGGAAGGTTTTGTTACATAGCTGTAGATCCTTTACAAATGTAAACCATAAGGATCAAGCGGTTTTTTTGAGTGTTCTGTGGGCAATGGAAAGTATGATTAGTCATCGATGTTCCAAGGTTAACTTTGCTCTACAAGATGTTACTTTGGTGAGTATTATTTTGAGACCGATTGCCTGGCCTTCTTTCAGGTATGAGTCCTCAGAGTTACTTCGTTGCTTGGAAAAGTTTTTGGAGTGGAGTGTTGGTGTAGAGCTTCCACTAGCTAATAGAGGAGCATTTCTCTTGGCTCAGAGTGTCACTAATGATTGCAGACTAAATTCCTTTGTTGCATCAAGTCATCCAACTTGGTTGTTTGGACTGTTTGAAAGTGAGAGAATTTCTTCCTCTGTTTAAGCTTTTTGTGATGTTTAGATTAGGCTGTTCTTTGTGTAGCCTCTTTATTTTGTATTGGCCATGTTCATATAAATGGCTTAGTATTTACTGGGGATGCGTCTCTTTCCTTCTCTGTTGTTTCAGAAGTTGGGGTTGTTCTTGTAACTTTTATCCTTTCAATATATTTTATCCAGATGACAAAAAAAAAGCTAACTTGAGACGCTAACCTAGTAACCTGAGAATTTGATAAGTTGACTTTTTATTTTTTCAATGATATTTTTGATAGCCTTCAAATGTCAAATTGATGTATGTTCTTATAATTTCACTTGATTAACTTCTATTTAGAAAATTTGAGTAAGCAAATATATGTTAGTGAAGTTGTAACATCACCAGTCGCAGCGATAGTAAAACGAACAACATATAGTAAGATTGTACTTGGTAGAGTGAACTAGTGCTAATAGCGTTCATTGGCTCGTTTGGTTCCAATCTGAGATCGCTCATGGATTATTTGAAGAGCCGCTCCCACATGACATAGAGGGGTCTGTGATCGAGGGCATTGGGACTTACGCCGTTGACAGCTCAGTCCATGGGCCTCCAGTGAAAGGCTTCCGCTTCTTTGGATCTTTGTTTTGCAGTCTTTACAATTTTTATATCCATTTTCGTCTTTTGTAGCTCACTTGTATCACTTTATCTAACACCGTTTTCTTCACGGCATACGTTGAGTCGATAGATTGATTGTTTTTGCTTTTATGTTTCTATCTTTTTTTGCCATGGGACCAAGTCTGTAAGTTTAAAATCCATGATCGTGAACCTAAACATTTTCATTTTTATAAATATTAACATTTTTAGTAAAAAAAAAAGTAAAAAAATATAGTAAGATTTTATCGACACTAATCGTTGGTTGCGGGTTGAAGTTGCTAGCGACAGGCAAGTGTACATATAAAATAAAATAATGTTACATGTTTGATTGAGCTCTCTCCCAACTAAACTATTGCTATATATATTAAAACCTCGCCTTTCGGCTAAATAAGTCAACCAGAAAGAGAGAAAGAAACAAATTATAAACAAATAAGCGACGAACTAAGACCAAGCACATAGGTGATATTACTTGAGTATCAGTAGCCCAATAATTATTTTTTAATGGACCAAAACATCTATTTGGGCTTGATACGTATCAATGATATCTTTGATACTGAGTATCAGGTGATGTGGCAGCATAATATTGGTCACCGAAAACGCGTTTTGGCAGAAAAAAAAAAAATTCATTTCTTTCTCTCTTCTCTTCTTACTGCGATTCGCGAGAAAACCTCTCCTTTCGTTCTCTTCTACAATCCGCCATGGGTAGGTATCCGAGCTCTCTCTTTCTCTCTTCATCGCTCTATGTTTCTTCTTTCTCTCTCGATTTCTAGATTTTGCGCTTACTGCTTTTGTTAGTCGATCGGATCTTTTCTTCTATTTTGGTTGAATCTCTTCGGCTTACTTTGTACCTTCGATTATGAAGCTGATGGATTCTTTGCTATGGTAGTTAATCTTAAATCGGAAGGAGGATATCAGCTTTTGGATTAGAAATCGGATTAGGGTTTAGCTGATTTGTTGGTTTTAATTGGCTTGTGTAGAAGTGACCTAGACATTTCTCTTGGGAATTCGTGTGAATTTAACTCTCGGGTAGTGAGGGATTGTGTATTTAGTAGAATTCTTTGCTAAATTTCTCATGTTGTTGGTATGTTTCGATTTGCTTCTCCCACGTGTGCTTTTCTGCTGCTTATGAATGATGATTTTGATTTTAGTGGTAAATTTTCGTTCTCTAGGCAAAATTAGTTCGTGGACTGACTTGGATTCTGAAGATGAGGTCTTGCGGATGGATTCAGAAACTACATTGAAGCAAGAAGTAGCTTGGGCTACTCACCTCTCCTTACATGTGCTTGTTAATCTATGGATTTAACTCACCTGGTTGTCTCTTTGTTTTCTTTGCTGCAAACTGATATGTTCTTGCAGTTTTAGATTGCTATGGTTTGAGGAGAAATTCTCTTGTTAATGTCTGTTATATTAATATCTTGCAGGCATGTCTTCTCCCCACTCTAGTTTATCTAACTTTGCTGGTAAATCCACAATTGGAGGACAGATTCTTTATCTTAGCGGTCAGGTGGATGACAACCTTATGACATCTCTTGCCTCCGTCATATAGCTCGACTTGTTTTTGAGCTTTGAAATGGTACGTATACTGCCTTTAATTTCAACCTCACTTCTATTTTTTTTATTCATTGATCTTTTTGTTATTATGATGATCACAATTCCAAAGTCTACTTATTTGTTTATGCATTTTCTTCAAAATTCTCCTAAAATAAAAGTTGTTAGAAATCGTTGTTTCACGGCCATGGTTTTGTGGCCCTCTCTGGTAACTATCATCTACAAATCCGATCTACTAACCAAAAAAACTCAAATGGTTTGCTCAAAATTTTGTACATCGTGTGAAAATGCAGGATCTTGGGTGATATCTTCATGGGACTATATCACACTGTGTTCGATTACGGGAAAGCAAGAGTTGGATTCGCCAAAACTGCTTAAACATGATCACTTCTTTAATACCCTTTTTTATATGATGTTTGTGAATGTGTATTTAGACAAAATCTTAAAATGGTTTGTAATAACTTAAACAGAATGCTATCCTAGAATGGTATCATCTTAATACAGATTTTTATTTGGTTTCAGAGCTGTTTGTTTTGCTTTAACTTACAGAGTACTAAGATTATATTGAGTCCAGGGATTGAGTTCTCTCACGATCAATGTATTTCACTAATCACTTAGCCTTTGCCAAAGCCAGTGTCATTGACCTCGCTCGCATGGTCAGGAAAATTCCCATGAAAAAACAAAAGAAGAATGTTGAGATTGCGAACAAGTTTAAATTGAGTAACAACAAGATGAATGTAAGCATTTTAATGCTGTTTTGAATTTTACATTGGATTGTAATATTACATTTTGTGATCTTATGTTTTTATAAATTTATTTTTCGATTTTGTAAAAAAAAAATTTTTATTTAATGATACCAATACCAGTCTCACCACTGGAAACAAATTTATTATCAGTATCATAAAAAGTCTCAAATAATAAACAAACATTAAAATTAATACTAAAAAATTGTTAATGATACTTGATAAGTATCAACTATGTGCATGCTCTAAGAGATCAGCAGGGAGCTTAAGGTTGAGCACAGTTGGATCTATTGCAGTAGTCGTTTGCCTCTCCATCCTCCTCATATCTCTTACAGGTACGTAAAAAAAGAAAAAGAAAATCTTTGATCCCAAGATCTAAAATAAATACATGTTAATGAAATGTTGTCTCTTCGTATGGATCTGACAGAAGTGGATGGGTGGGGAAAGTGTGATTACCGAAAGGGTTTATGTAATACTTCGGCCACGAGCTCCACTTGCGATGAACCATGCAAGGTATTGGACAGCAAGTATCATGGAGGCGAATGTTTAAACGTTGGTGGTGGTCAAGGGATATGTTGGTGCTGCCGTGATTATGATGCAAAGAGTGGTGCTGAAAAGGATAGCATGTGATTGCAAAATGATAGAAAACGATGTCACTTTGAGTGTGTGTGTTTTGCGATTTTTATGTTTATGAGTGTTTACCTTCTACTTTGTTGTACCAAGCCTGTTTTGTTTCTGTTTGTATTGCGTTAAAACATTAAGTTCCTAATGTTTTTTTTTTTTGTGCGAAAAGTTCCTTATCATCACTAAGAAGTAAACCTACAACAACACTATATATTGAACACTAATTTTGTCTCACTTAACACGACAACAGAGAGACATATTTTGACGAAGTTCAAGGATTCAAGAGAGGGCTTCCTTCTTTGATAAGCACAAAGACGCTTCCACCGTCTCCTCTAGAGATCCGAATGTCTTTGTCTAAATAAGTTGTGAGTAGCCAAGACTGCGCATTGTCCCCTGGCAAAGAGAATTTCAATGGTGGTTGGCTCGATATGGTTCTAGCCACAGACGAGGCTGTGTCTTGCACCGAGGTAAGTAACCCTCTGATCGGGTTAAGATCAATCTTTTGACCAAGAACCTCTACATATTCCGGTATCTCAATAGAATCCGTTAACTGAGGAGTCCCGATTACGCCTTGCTCAAACTTAATCTGCAAGAAAATGAAATCCAAAACATTACTCAATCGTTTCAACATGTTGATATCAGATCTTGGTTTGATGGATGATGGTTCATTTAATTACCTGGACGCGTTTAGGGCTTCGGATTTCGAACTTAGCGTTGGTGCTAATCGAGTTTGTACCTAAAGGACCAGCGAAACGAACAGAGTTCTGGACTGTGAAGTTTTCTGAATCAATGGTCTGTGAGATCTCATCTACTTTTACTAATGGCACGATCCCTCGTGAAAGCAATGGGAACAAATTCACGAACGATGTGTAGCTGCAAAAGAGGTTTCACCAAATCAAGAGCAGCACTCGATTGCAATTGAAAGAAGTTCATCGTTTCATTTGAATCCAGAATCCAAAATTACTCCTAAAACTAACAAATCCTCCAGGAGAAAGTTTTCACCGGAAAAAAACTTACGCGAGGATCCATTTGCCGTTGAGAAGGAAGAGAGCTTCCGTCGGAGCTGGAGTAGGGTTCTTTGACTCGAGCTGTGTGATTAGATCTCCGATTTCAGCTCTGGTCTCGCTCGATGCGCTCAATCCTCGATCTGTTCCGTACAACGAATCCGCAAGCGATCTCTTTAGCCGCTCTGTCTCCTCCACAGCTTCAATGGCTTCCTCCGCCGCCAATAGAGCTGATCCTCTCTCCCCCGCCGCATCTGTGGCTCGGACTCTAAAATCCGCACGGGAAACACCGATTCTTCTGGTGGAGAACACCGGACGGTGAATAATTGAGCTCATCGGTACCAGAATCGGAGGCTTGGAGAAAGATTTAGAGTTCCGTGTGATTGAAACTCTGGTTTTGCAAGGAAATTGGGTGAACAATTGTACCGTCGCCATTTTTTTTTCTTCGACTCAACAAATTTCGAAAGCTAGTGAACAAGAAAAGACTTGTAGTAATTTATAGACATTCTAACTGAAATGGTAAATTACGTAAATGGTTTTGCCACGTGAAGGCTAAGATCAACGGCTGAGAATCAACATTCTAAGCGTCGCGTCGTCAGATGGTGTGAGGCGAGCATTGATTTGGTTATTGTCTTTTGGCTAGAAGATAATCCAAAATTTAATTCAATTTTTTTCTTACTAATTTTATAATGTCGTAAAGGATTATTTAAGTAACAATTAATACAAACAATGGATAAGTGATAATAGAAAAGTAAACATTTCGTTGTGTCAACAGAAGAAATAAACATTTTATAGATAGACGATAAATCTTTTCTTGTGTGTGAATTATTGGACTTACAATTTTTTTTTTCTTTGCTCTCTCATCATAAAAAAATTGTGTAGGAATTTGCTTCTTTTATTACCTCAGCAAAAAAAGCGCCATGCCAAAAGTCATGATCAATGAAAAAAGGCTAGAAGCTTCCGCAGTGTACTACTTACTGGCTGTTTTTTTTCTTTGCTCTCTCATCATAAAAAAATTGTGTAGGAATTTGCTTCTTTTATTACCTCAGCAAAAAAAGCGCCATGCCAAAAGTCATGATCAATGAAAAAAGGCTAGAAGCTTCCGCAGTGTACTACTTACTGGCTGTTTTTTTGATCATCCTCCATTACCAATGGGCTATTGGGAGGAATATACAGATTACAAAACATACATTTAGTGGGCTTAAAAATATTAAATGGGGCCTTGTGGACAAAAAACCTCTTGTATTTTTTTTTTTTGCATTTACATCATCTTCCATTAACCAAAAGAAACGTACAAAGTACACAAACCGTAGTTAAAATTTGGAACGTATCTAGGGATCACCTCACTTACTCACTTGGATCGAGGACTTTTAGCCGTCCGATCGTTTTCAAAAGATATCTAGTATCTCAATGATCGGACGGTTACAAAGAGGACACGATCCACGGTTCAGCCACAATTCTCTAGAGCACACTCTGCAAAAAGTATGACCACATGGAATAAACGCTGCGCCTTTCTTTCTTCCCATACACACGCAACACACCGAATCATTATCCGTTAACGTCCCAATTGACGCCGTCAAAATCTCCGTTTCTTTTCCGTCTTCATCAACGATTCTCTCCGCCGTCTCTTCCAACAATCTCATCAACGAAACTCTCCTCGGCGTCATATCTACCTCCGCCTCCGTCGGTTCTCCTCTGTTATACCTCTCCGCCTCTAACGCCGTCGCGAGATTCATACCCGTACCCGATCCATGATCCGATTCGGGAACGAGTCCGGTTTCAATTTGTAATTCTTCGATTTCGTCGTCTCTTGAGCTTGGACTGTGAAGAGTGGTGGTGTTGTTAGTTAGACGGAGACTCCAGGTTGGACCACAGCATCCGATGCATTTGAATCTCAACCGTTCTTTTAGAGTCCGTTTCCTTCTGGTGAGATCGTGACCGCTCATCTGTCGTCGGAGCAAATCAAGAAACGTTGTCGTTGTGCGGTGTGTCTCCGCCATCCTCTGACTCGTTCCGAGCTCGAGTTCACTCATCATCGACTCGGTGACGGAAACTCTTAAAGAAATTCTCCGATAGTGAAACAGAATCACCGGTGAAATAGAGAGATTAGCTCCGCCATGTGAGAGAGAGAAATATAGAGAGAAACTGTTTAGATCTTTGGGTCTCGCAGTGATGATGACATTATAAAGGAAGTTTTCAGAGTTTTTTTTTAATTTTCTTTCACATTTCTTTATTTTATTTTTGTAAAAGTTGTTTCCGAATATTAATTTCCCGCGAGTTAATATTATTTTAAACACTTTTAGTAATTTCAACAGTTAAAACGATTCTATTCGGTTGGTCCAGTCTTACTTACAAATCTACAATAACAATATTTGTAAGATATTTTTTCAATGATCATAAACTTGAGTATATAACTTTCATTCTTTTAAAACGAATTGTTAAAAAGTTAAATCAATTTATAATTATGTGTAATTTACTAGGCAAAGCCGTACTGTGTACGCAATGGGTGCATGGTGTGCAACTATAATGTTAGTTCTTCTGAATTTCTGATAGAAACAGGGGGAAAAAAATTACTCGAGAGGAAAAAGTTAATGACGTTTATGTAACTGTACGACTTATTAATTTTCAAATAAAATAAAAAAGTTTTTTGAAGGTCTCGAATAGAAACAAAATTCGAAAGAATACGTACATTTTATATTACCAACGAAAAATGGTCATCCCTAGGAGTTCAACGCCAATTAAAGATTAAATAATCATCCATCGAATAAAGATATGCTACTAATATGACGCTAACTCTGAAACAAAAGCGATGAATCAAAATAAAATTTAATTAATGCGAATTTACCAGACTGATGAAATCTCATAAGTTATACCGGAACATGGTTTTAAAAATCACGGTATAATCTTTCTGGCGGGAGAATATTTTTGTTAATAAACCCGCCGAAAAATAATTTGAAAACTGAAAGGAAAAGAAAAAAAAAAAGAAAAGGAAACTAAAGAGGGTGCATAAATCAAGGTTTTTCCCACGTGACACGTTAGACGACGTCGTCTTTGCGCCACACTCTCCCCAACAAAACCAATAAAAATAAAAGTGGGATATAGAGATTCTAAACGCTGATACCAATAAGCTTTTTTGAGAGAATGATACATTCAATGATTTTGTACTTGGCATTTACAATAAGCTCTTCCTATTTCTCATAATAATCTCTTGTCAAATTATTCATTCAAGGAAACTATAGCTCTTATGCCCATTGTTTACCTGAAAACAAATGTAACAATGTAACTTCCTATTTCTCATCTTAGTAAATTTACATCATAAGGGTATTTGATTCTTCTCTCCCACATACATAACGATGGGAATTTCACATTATTCCTTTGTTCCAAAGTATATGGGATTCATATCTATTCTTCATGAGCTGATACAATTAATCTTTTTAGTTTACTTTCTAATTTATTAATTTTAACTTGTAATGGATTTCTTGATGCAGTCTACAATACCTTCGCAATGAGCCGCCTCAGGAACAACACAGCCTGATTCTCCTTCACCATCACCATCTTCTAAAATGGAGTGTGGAGAACGAAGACTGCCCAGAGTCTGACAAGCTCTCATTGTCTTGCAGTGTTCTGCTTCATCGTCTCTTATGTTCACAAACACATCGTATAGATTCTCTGCCCAACCATTACCACAAAACAACATCAACAATAACAACAACAAGGTTATAGATTCTTAATTTAACACCAAAGTAAGTCACAAACTGAGAATAATGCTCCATCCATACATATATAAGACCATAGCTAAGTTCTTTTCTAGAATGTAGACTCACAACCATGGATAAATCATAAACCTGTTTAGCAATTTGTGGTTCGATGGAATAAGAGATTTAAAGAACGAAGTAAATTTGCTACCTATTACTGGTCTTCGAGTATTGGGAGCTCTGGATGTTTGGAACTCATCTGCAGACAACACATGAGCCAGTTTGAGAGACTACTAATCAAAGGGATAAAAACTCTAAAACTCTGGAGAATAGTGACAAAATCCGGATGGATAAACTCACCAAATAAGTACAAGTCACTCCCGGTATAATATTTTACTGCGATATCGGGTGCAGGCATATTCTTCAACTCCTCTGTTTAGAAAATAAAAGAACCAAAACAATTCAGAATGTAAAGACCATTGAAGAATTTTGTGTGATATTTCAACGCATTTAATCCATTCACAACTAATGTAAATGGTACTGGGAAAGAATGCTGGAGAAAGAAGAAGAAACCAACCTCCACTGGTCTTGAGAAATTTATCATAAGTCTCATATGCATGACTCTCCACACATTCCGAAAAGTGATCTGCATAGGTGACATACGGTTAACGAATTCATGTAGACCAGAAGCAATTTATTCTGATACTTTCTAGAAGTTATGCGGAAAGGAAACTTACATGCCATTCTAGGGCTTAAGATATACAAGAACACTGTCATGAAGTAATAGAATGTTGCTATGTGCTGGGCCAGAAAACGATCAAACCACCAAGAGTTTCCACCCAATTCCTGTGATCAGAATCATGCGTTTGCTTTTACTAACTATGCGAGTTAAGAGTATGCAACTCGTACAGAAGGGGAAATTGGTTCTTACTTCCATTATGAGCAAGTGATGCATCTCATTCCAGCTCTCAGCAAAGTGTACTTTCAAATAATCTGCTCTCCTCCACCAACCAAAGGTCTCATACATGTGTAGCACAGACATAAAGGCTGCAAGGAGAATGCAGAAACAAACATTAGATGCTAGCCTATAAACAATTTCCATTTGGCGTCCAGATCCATAACTATTGATAAACACGAAAAAACAAGATTTGATTTTCCCAGAATCCTATATTCCACAACGGGGATTATGGATGAACACTATTCTGCCAATGTTCTTCTGCACATATCTCAAGTGACACAATCTTACAACACCTGAAGACTAGCTCTTAGTAGTTCTGCTAAACGATACTTGCACACATTATAAGGAACTGAAACTACAGATAGATCCAATTACCAAAATAAGGCACTCTAGCAATTGTCTCAAGAACAAAGAACCTTGCATAGGTTCTGTCACGGTACAAAGTGTCAAGTATCTTTATCACCGAGTCCTGATTGAGGAAACAAAAACAAGACAATAATCAGAACACAAGAAAAAACTTCCGGTAAAATGTGTAGACAATCAAACATTATAGATTTCGAAGAAGACATAACGTTTAAAGATTAAAAAAGGGTCATAAAAACCTTACTGTGAGGAAGACATTCACTCCTTGCTCAAGCTTGATGATCCATGACTCAAAAGCACTACTTGAAGAAGAATTCATATTTGGCTCCTCAAGTGGTTCTTTACCAGTAAAAGTCTCGGCTTTAAATGATTCCTCCACCACAACTTTCTCTTCATCGTCTTGCAAAATCGTTGCTTGTACTCGATCAATGTTCCTGATTTTTTTCATAAAAGTTCCAATTACATCACTAAGTAAGAAACTAGAAAGAGACGAAACAAAGCTACCCATTAGATACATAAATTTAAACCCTTTCAATAAACACGCGTGACGAAACCGATTAAATATTAGTTCTAGTAACTAGGCACACCTAAAGAGCAGACGACGAGAAGAGAGAGGACGATGATGAAGCAGTCGGTGAGAGGAGCTGTACGAAACGGCGGCTCTAGAGCGTCGAAGAGTAACCAAAGGTCGTGAAATCGTCAACGTACCAGAGGAGATGCCTGAAATCGCCGCCATCGCCGTCAGGAACCCAAGATTTTGAGCAGAAATTTCACAGGAAAGAAAAGTAAAGGTTGGAGATTTGTCGTTGAAATGGAGATATTTTGGGGATTTTGTGGGTTTTAGACGAAGAATGACGACGAATCCCAAGGTGAGAGGATTCTCCGCTACTTCTCATGCCCATCGACGTCGACGCGTCCAACAAATCACGGCCGGAGAAATTTCTTAGCCACATTAGGATCCGATTAAGGCAAATGATCCGACCCGGGTCATATTATTGGGCTTAGAATAGCTTATGTGTTAAAGGGCCCTGAATATGGGACACATCACGCCATCTTTTATGAATCAAAATCAAAACTATGAACTGATTTTCTAGCCCGTGAAAGTAACTACCATTTCTAACTACTGTATCCCGTGAATTCAGTGACGTGTCTAGTTTCAGGAAAATATGTTTTGCTAATGTGATTTTTTTTAGCTAATTCAGCTCAATTTGTTTATTTATTAAAATTGACATAGTTTATAAATAAATCAAATTACTAGTAAAAATTTTGGAACTAATGTATCATTAAGTCTTTTCTGTTAATCAGATTTATTTTTTTTTTAATTGATTCAGCTGGAATTTCTAAAAGTCATATAGAGTCAAATTCCAAAAACAGTAAACACCTAACAAATCAGTCATTACCTCATTGTATTTTGATTTTTGTTAAACTATTTTGAGTTTTTGACCATGACACTCCACTCTACTACACCGTTTTTAATTATTATTTTAGATATTAAACCGAAAAAAGAAACACTTTCCACCTATATATCAGCCAAAAAAGATGAAACCACATAATATCTGAAAAGTAATAATAAAATAAAAAATATATAAAGCCCAATGTTAATACGTGTATGTTTTAAAATTTAAACATATAAATTTCGCAAAACTTTAGTATTTAAACAGATTACAGGTTTAGCTTACAAAACCAATCAACGCGACTTTATTTTTGCCTTTTTCCCTCTTTGAATCTATCAATATTTCCAAATCCCTAAAGTACCCCTCTCTCATGGCGACGAACGCATCATCGGAGCATCTACTCCCGGAGACGACCAGACCAAGCGCGATCATCAACAAACAACCGGAGTTTCCAGCATCACGGTTCACGTTCATGTCCCTCGTGCTCTGGTTCGACCAGTCAAATCGCGGCACGGCTCTTCTTTCGTGGTCCGTGTTCTTCCTTCTCGTCGTCATCGTTCCGATAATCTCTCACTTCTTGCTCGTCTGTTCCGACTGCGATTTCCATCACCGACGACCGTACGACGCCGTGGTACAGCTTTCGTTATCGATTTTCGGCGGAATCTCGTTCGTTAGCCTCTCGATTTGGTCGAGGAAGTTTGGGATGCGACGGTTCTTGTTTCTTGATAAGCTTTGGGATGCTAGCGACAAAGTTAGAATCGAATACGAAGCTGAAATTCAGGTTAGGATCTCTACTAATTTTAAATTTATTATCTATAAACTGATCAAAATCATACCTAAATTCGAAATTAGAGATATTGCAAACCTCATATTTAAAAAAAAAAAAAAACCTAGAGACTTTACCAAACTGTATGTGACAGAGACGAGAAACTGACAAATTTAGTTACTAATAATTTCTGAGTCTCGTTTTTTATTCCAGAATTTAGTAAACGCAACAATAATCATTTACTAATTTTATTTTTCAAAAGTATATTAATTAACTAATGAATTTCAAAAATATTTTTAAAAATGGCTGAAATAATCAACATTAGCAATCTTTGTTTTTATTTAATTTTTAAGAAGGCTTGAAATGATTGAAAATAGTCAGTAAGTGTCTGAAAAAACGTCACTGAACAAATAATCAATAATTCCAGAATTTAGTAAACCAACAAATAATCATTTACTAATTTTTGTTTTCTAATTTCCCGTTTAATTTAATTTAAATAGTATTTTTGTTGGTCAAATAGTATATTTAAATTATCAACTTTAGCCTGAAGTTATTGAAACAATCAATAAATATCTGAAAAAACGTCACTGCACAGTTAAACAATCTTTCTTGATTTGAGCATCTTTATTTCTGGCCGACATTTTTCTTTTTGTAAATTACAAAAAATAAATCCGACCTGCCGGAATCGAACCAGCGACCTAAAGATTATCTGTCAAAGACTACAGTCTTCCGCTCTACCAACTGAGCTAAGGTCGGATATTGTTTTCTTCTGCTATAAGTTACCTAATAATTAATAAACCTTTTGCTCTGTTTCTTGATTGATACAGAGATCACTAAAACGGCTAATGATCTTCGTCCTCCCATCACTAACACTCGAAGCAATCTACAGAATCTGGTGGTACATCTCTGGCTCTCACGAGATTCCTTACATCATCAATCCTGTTCTTAGCCATGTCGTCGCTTGCACTCTCCAGCTCTCTTCTTGGCTTTACCGTACCTCTTTATTCATCATCGTCTGCATTCTCTACAAAATCACATGTCATCTTCAGACTCTTCGTCTCGATGATTTCGCTCGCTGCTTCGCTTCTGAAATCACTGACGTTCGCTCAGCTCTCGGCGAGCATCAAAAGATCCGTCGTAATTTGAGGATTGTTAGTCATCGATTCAGGAGATTTATTCTTTTGTCTTTGATTCTTGTTACTGCTACTCAGTTCATGGCTTTGCTTACTACTACGAGAGCTAGTGTTGCTGTTAATATCTATGAAGTTGGCGAGCTCGCGGTAAGAGTTCTTACCTTTCTTGTTCTGTTTATTCGGATTGTACTTATCACTAATAAATGTTTTTTTTTTGGGTCTATACAGTTATGTTCGTTGAGTTTGGTTACAGGAGTATTCATATGTTTGAGAAGTGCAACGAAGATAACTCACAAAGCTCAATCTGTAACCAGCCTTGCAGCTAAATGGAACGTTTGCGCCACAGTTGACTCGTTCGATCATCTTGATGGCGAAACTCCTACTGGTTCCATGATTGAATCTCAAGTTTCCCCATGTGGCAATGCGATGGATACGTCTGATGATGAAGAAGGAGAAGGAGATGATGATCTTGATAATACCAAGATACATCCTATCTACGCCAATACAATTTCTTACCAAAAACGTCAAGCTCTAGGTAAGAATATCTCCATGGATAATTTTATATAGACCACAAAAGTCGATATTTATCGAGTTGTTGATCTTTTTTGCAGTGACGTATTTAGAGAACAACAAAGCTGGGATCACTGTGTATGGATTCCTTGTAGATAGGTCATGGCTGCATACGATTTTCGGGATTGAACTCGCTCTTCTACTATGGTTGCTCAATAAAACAATCGGTATATTGGCTTAAACCGGTTTCTCTTGTTTCCAGAAGGATCTTCTTTTGGCTATTTTTTAACCTTTGAATTGTTTGTCTTTTGGTTTTGTGACAGTGAATATACCATGAACAAAAAGTTTGGTTATATGTAATAATATATGAATCGTTTTGGCATGGTGTTTCTCTCCAAGATATGATGAAGAACAGTAGAGAAGATTTTTCACGGTGGCGATGATATGTCTCTCTCCTCCTTAGTTGTTTAGTTACAAATCTGGAGATATGACAACTATTTTTGGTTCATCTATAGATATACAAACATGTACGAAATCAAATATGTATGTTTATTAGTGTAGAATGAATACAATCAAACTAAATTTGTTTTTTCATGCATTACTTAGTAGTTTACTCACAGAAACTTGATCTGGATATCGCAATTGGACGATCTAGGAACCAATAGCAGATATTTGGTGATTCGAGACTTTTCCTTGTCGTTTATTGCAGAAGCACGAACTTTGACAAGCTCAAGACATGGCAATTTCTCTAAGAAATGTTTCATTTGCTCTAGCTCTTCAAATGTTCCTCCATACTCAGTTATCTTCAATACTTTAACAGGACATGACAATCCATATTCTCTTACATATCTATCATCGTACAGTGGACCCTGAAACAAGAGAGAAGATTAGAGATTTGAGTTTGTCCAATACATTTTCGGGGTTTTGGTTATACCTTGATGACGAGAGTCTCTAGATTTGGAGATTTTTCTAGAAGTATTGGCAGAAGTTTCCAATGGTAGTGGCGTGAATCAGTTGTAATAGATAAACGAAACAGCTTGCTCAAGACTGGGATTGCTTCACGGAAAGCATAGAATGTCTGAAACAGAACAAAAATAAACAAGTCACTAGTCATCAAACAATTGCAATATTTGGATCCAAAAACCTAGAGCCATGGTTCCTAAAATTCGTCTTCGATGATCTTAACTTGCATGCAATAAGATATATCTTACAGAGAAAGAAAAAGAGGGGAGATCAGTCTTTACCTCACTGGTATAATGAGATGATAACTCCAAGACCTCAACATTTCTTAACCCCTTAATCAGATTTGTTGGATTGCTGACATCGTGTACATAAAGATCGAGGTTAGCTTCGACAAGGGACTCAAGATTCACAAACGGATAGTGTCTTGGAACTAAATCAGAGTATTCTAAGTAGGCAAGACTCGGAGTATCAAAAGTCATGTCCCAAAAATCCGTACGTTCAGTACACATAATAGTAAGTTTCTTAAGGGTCAAAGAGGACACGTTGCGACAGCATTTTGGATTTTGCCAACTATCACCACAAATGGTCAATTCCTCAAGCACAGGGCAAGCAGAAAGAAGCTTTCCCAAAACACAATAATGACTATTATAGAACCAAATCGAATCAAGAAAGAGAGTCTTAAGTGATGGAAGAGAAACATGATCAGGAATCATAGCATCAAATCCTCCTGCTAGTTTAAGCTCAACCAATGTCTTGCAAGTGAAGATCTCGAGAGGAACTAAAACGACATCTTGAGCGATTATGTCAATATCAAGATTTGAGACACCGTGTTTCAGGACGTCAATCATCCAGCGGGTGACATGACCCGTGTCGATACTCATACGACATTTTATAGAGAAATTCCTTATGGGGAAATTGCCTGACACAGCCAATACTCTATCCACAAAATCGATGAGCCTTTCTCCTCCACCCACTTCTTGATCATCTAAACAAAGATATGGTCTGAAGGCAAACAAATAACGCCATCGCTTTGAGAGGACAGATGTAGAGGTAGCCTCTTTGAGCGGAAGGAAAGATAGAATGTGGCAAATGATATCATCTGATAGACCATTGATCCTGTCCATCCTTCTGCCAAACTCAGAAATCCTAATAAACCAAAGTAGATAATCACTGTGATATAAGTAAACTGGAATCAAATTGAAAAGATATATACTAGACCAATAAATGCAGAATCTAAGATAAAGTATACTGCTTTACAAGCAAATCAAAGGATTCTCGCTCAGAACCATAATTCTCAATTCATTACAGTAAAATGACAAAAAAAGAGTGAAATTCTGAAATCAAAAGGAAACAGATGCAGAATCTAAAATAAAGTATTCTGCTTTACAAGCAAACAACGAAATCTCTCGCCAAGACCCATAATTCAATTCAATACCCTCAGAGTCGATAAATGGAAGCAATCGCAGCAGAAAATACTCGATGGTTCGATGCAAACACCAACCAAATTAATACGGTGAGCAGAAAACTAAGCAGGAGGTGGAGTCCGGTGCTTCCGATTTCTACCCTTCTTCAGATCAATTCCGGTGTCGAATGTGTGTTTTTTTTCTCTTCCATTTTATGGGCCGTTGGTCCGTGTAAGCCCATCATCCTTAAACCCATTTTGGGAAAAATTAATATACATTATTATTTTTTTTTTTTTAAAAAAAACACTGACCAGCAGTCCTAGTAACTACATGTTGAAGAAGTGCAAAGGTAGTGCATGATACCATATATGACGTTAAGCAACTGCAGTTACATGCCATTTATCAACAACTTTTTCTCCAAGAATTGGATACTAGCATGAATATAATAATAATCAAAAATAGCTTTTGAGAACACAAGTCAAGATTCTGAGAATACGAGCTATAGGTTTCTCGATGATCATAAGTAAAAGAATCAGTTATGAAATGAGACATCTATGCTCTCTAACAAATAGCTTAGTTCATGGACAACTGGTGCAGTAGCACATGGTCCATCAGATTTTTAAAGTTTTTTCTTTAGTCAAAAAACCCAACTTTCTTTTTTTAAATATGTAGTAATATTGAGACCAACTTTTTTTTAGCTCTGGATCTTATAAAAATTTGAGCCGGACCTGCTCATGGATCAATTAAAAATAAACGTAGGCAAAAAACTCAAATACTGCAATCATTTGGAAACTAACCGAAGATGGTGAGAGTGGAGGAGCATTAGTAGTTTCACCCATGTCGACATCATCATCGGAGAATTTTTCATCGAAAATTCGATCCATTGTCTCCCAGAAGAAAAGAAAAAAATTTAGAGAAGATTGAAACACACAGTTAGTCCTCATGCTAAGGGGCCAAAAACATTTAGAGAGCAGATGCAATACCCTTTGGACCATCTTCATCACTGCTACTCAAGGAATTTGTATCTCTGACCATACCTTTAAGATTCATCCTTCTAGCACATCATTCAACCATTTGTTTATGCTTCTTCAACAACAGTTCAGCTTCCTTGAGAGTTTTCTGATCACCAACCGAAACAACACTTGTTTTCGTGAAGTCGTAGCTACACACAAACAACAAAAAAGAATTAATGTCACCAATCAATAACAAACACAAACAACTAACTAAAATGATTGCTCCATACGTACATAGCATCCACAGCCTTGCGTGAATGGTCCAATCGTCATAGTTGGGAAACAACAGGTAGTCCACGGGGGCCGACTCCGTTGGTGCCACTTGGTGTCGGCCGTGGTACTTGATTTCACTGGTTTCGCTCTCCAAAACTAATTCTTTTCCCTAATCAAAAAATGGCATACCTTTTTCTAAGAGAGAATTGGCAAAGTAGACATCTTTAAGAACATTAATTTGAAGAATAAACATCTTTTATAAATAATTGGCAAAGTAGACAATTTTCTCTCTCTTCCTCTAATAGAGAGTTCTATTAGTAACTAATTTCCACAGTTGAAGTCATGATCTCTATATACACTCAACTTCTCTTTTTACCGATTGTTATTTTACGGACATATGTATTTTTGTTTTCTAATCGTATTTCAAATTCATTTACTGAGATTGTGTGTTTATTTGTTTTGTAAGCTGATTATATTATTCTCTCTCATTTTTAAGGTTATTTTTTTCCCACTTTATTCTCATTTATTTCTTTCTTTTTACCATGTAAGGAAAAAAAAAACTAAATTATGATTGGTATTTTCCTTAAATAGTTTTCAAATCCATAATTTACACTAAAAATTATCTGAAAACTTAAGAAAAGTAAAATCATACAAGAAGGTTTGAGTTTTTAAATCATACAATATAGTTTACTATATTACATTTACCTTTTTAATAATGTCAATATAATCATATATAAAAATTATGTTTTGTTGGGTTCTGGTAATGTCAATGCTTAGAAATGTTGTTGATCACGAACTCAAATCACTTTGGGCTTAGAAATGTCACATTTTTTAAAATACGTATGTACTAGTACTCTTCCTTTCTCAGTTTCTCTATACTTTCTACTCTACTATTTTTCTAAACAAAAGAATCCTCATCACTCATCACGCATGAGTCTTTGAAAAGTCAAATCACCTTTTTGTTTTATAGTCTTGGACTCTTGGTTCCGTTAAATACAAGGAATTAAGAGAAACTCTCTGATCACATTGTCATTAATTCATCTTAAAACCTTACAAAAATACATAAAACAAAAAGAAATTATCTAAAATTAAAATAAAGATATTTGGATAATTCACCAAACATCATACACATACATACATTCTGCTGGAAATACCATCCTTGATTTGCATCCAAGCCCCATTTCTCCGACATTTCCTCAACGGAACTGATCTCTGTTGATCAGATTACCTCTCCGTCTTTGGATGTCGTCTAGGTGGGCAGCCTGCAGGTAGCAACGGTTCATTTAGGACGACATCAATACCTGCCAAGTCAATGCTTCTCTACCGCCGTCCAGTGGCAACTGATCCGCAAAACATCTTCCTTTGATAACATCTTCCTTTGATAACAATGAGTTTGGTTCACCAACTGCAGAATCTAAGATAAAGTGTTGTGCTTTACAAGCAAACAACAAATTCTCTCCCAAACCCATAACTGATAATTCAATATACTATCAAAACATGTGAGGGCAAACAATGGATTCTCGCTCAGAACCATAATTCTCTCAATACACTACAGTAACAAAAGATTGAAATTTGGACAAACCCACCAGCTGAAATCACTGGAAGTAGATGCAGAATCTAAAATAAAGTATTCTGCTTTACAAGCAAAGCGAAGAAGGAAATCTCTGGCCAAGACCCATAATTGATACTCAATTCATTACTATCAAAACATGTGAGGGCGATGAGATCAACCAAAAGTCGATAATTCAATGCAAACACCAACCAAAACAATCCGATGAGATCGGAAGAAACAAAGAAGCGTGCCTCGAGAGTTTGGGGTTCTGTGTTTTCACTTTTCACAAGCAGAGAGACCGTAAATTAAATGGGTAAAAGCTGTCTTTTTTATCTACTTTTGGGCTTTAAGTTTTTGGGTTGTTTTGACTGAGGTCCACGACTAGAAATTTACATGCTCGGCCACTATGTAAACCACAAGTTCACAACATTGCTACCATTTGGCAATGTAAGGTCATCATCACCTATTGCAGAGATGCCTAAGGTTTTCTTGTTGAATAAGAATAGTAGATAGGAGTCATAGGAATTAGGACATAATAATTATTTAAACAGAAAATAGCATTTACACTTTGGGGCTCTATGTACACAAACATAAACCCCATAGAAAGGGCAAAAAAAAAAAAACAGAATTAAGAAAGAAAAACAAAAGCTAATAGGCAAAAGGCAAAGCCTATTTGGTTTTCTTTTTTGAACCAATTTGGCTGTCCTCTCATCCCTCTCTTCTCTTCCTTCAGTCTCGTGAGCCTAACTCTTTAAGCATTTATATATTTGAATATTGGGCAAAAGGAGCATTACATACATATTGGTTCAGACAGGAATGACATCAGCGTTTTGATTATCGTCGCAGGTGATGATTAAGCCATCTGCATAGGTTGGGAAGAGGCAGTGCCACCACCGGCACCCACTGGAGACTGCTTCTGCTGGAGGAACAATCATCAGCACGTTGTCGTGCCTTCTTACCATCCCCATCACGCTCACTGTGCTTCCTTCTTTTATGTATCTGATCATCACACACAAACAAATATGATTTTAAATCAATGAGCTATCTTGTGTACAAAGATGAGAGCAGCCAAAAAAGATCCTTTGAACTAGAAAGGGTGCCTTTTGGGTCTCACTAGCTTTAGACGTAATTCAACCTTCTAATCCCTTTAACTTCAGACTTATTTAAGCCGTTAACTTTGACAATAGTTGCTGGATTTCTTCCCACAAGACATGTCTCATCACATCTTTTTCCATTACTGTGACTTTTAATGTGGAAGAAGATCCAATGGTATCAGTCAAAGTAAACGCCTACATCAACAGTCTAATACTTCCTTCCCATTATACTGAAGAAATCAGGGTTTAAAAGGTTGTAATTCATTGACAAAAAAAAAGGGTTGTAATTAGAGTACTTCCAGGTCAAATCAGGATCCAAGGTTTGGATAGTGACTCTAATAAAAGGTTCTTTTCAGATTTTGGCTAAAATACTTCGTGGGGTGCAACCCGGAAGAAAATTTTAAGATGCATGTTGAATATAGCATACCCTTCTTTGAGACGCATGACACGGTCATCGGCTGAGAGGTTGCGATCCGATAGCCACTTTAGGAAGCTGGGAGATAAATCTTTGTTCTGCGTTGTTACATTAGCCACTGTCGCCGGTTTAACAAAAGGAGAAACTTTTGATCCATATCCAGCTTTTACTAGCGCTCGCAATCCAGATTGGAAATCCGAGATGTAAAAATCCGACACGTATTTCTGCAAAAGAAATATAACCACAACAAGAGTCATCAAACTTAGCCATCTCCTCTTGTCATATAAGATCTGGAAACTTGACCAGAGACAACTATCATTACGCAAGATAGAAAAAGAAACTAACCTCTGCATGTCTAGATCCCCAAGAAAAGCATCGATGTTTTGGGTTTGCGGATTTTCCACCAAAACCTTTGTACTCATACAACTCCGTGGATACATAAACGCATCTTGGTGTTCTTTGGTATGAAGACTCCAAAGGAATGCTTCCACATGTCACAACCTACAAAACATTAAAAAAGTTTCAACATTTCCAGCAAATAAAAGATACACCAGTGACCACACTACCATATTTAACCATATCTACAGCAACATTGTTAATTCAGACCCATATAAATGGTCTGTACAACGCATTAAACTAGCTGGTTGACGACTGTAATCCAATCCACAATACAAAAATACCCGTGACTCCAATTTGTCGAATTATAAATGGTCTAATTAATCAATGCTAAACACAACCAGCAAACTTTAGTTTGGTGAGAATTCGTTTAATAGTATAAAATTTCAAACACAGACAAAAGCAAAAATCATCATAAAGCACCGTGACACATAATGGAGCAAAACATAAACTAAAAATGAAGTTAATTAACACTAAAACAGAGATCCAAGAGTATAACATCCATAAGAAAAGCCAATGATGATAATGACATTCTAACTATCAAAAGCTAAATTAGGAAGCAACTTACTTTGATCAGAACAATTAAAGTCACTTGCTAAAACTGGAAATATAAACACTGAGAGATCTTTAACATCTGAAAATTAGGTTTTAACTTACCCCTGTAACCTTAACGAATTGTCCATCAATGGCGCCTCTAAGCTCAGCATCTGGATACCTTTTGATGAAACTCAACAATCCTTTTCTTCTCCAAACGCAATTCCAAATCAAAACCACGATTGCGGGACAAACCGCCGCTAAAACCGCTGCAATCACCACCGGTTTCTTCACCGCCACGGTAAGAAACGCTCCAACAAGCAATCCCATCGCCGCCACAATCAAAACCGCCCAAACCATCGCTTTTGGTACTTTAAACCCGACCCGAACCGGGTCTACGTTAAGACTCGTCACCGACGACCCGTATTTAGGCTTGCTCGACGCTAAATTACTCAACTGGTGATCCAATTGACCCGACCTCCTAGACCCGGATAAAATTGGACCCGAAGAACCGAGAGAACCGGAGGTAATTAAACCGGTTGGCTGAAGCTGAGAGAGTGGACCTGAGAATTTCTTAACCGAACCGGAGTTGGGACCAGATCGAACGGATCCACTGTTAGGGTTTGAAGAAGAACCGGAGACACGTGGCGGCGCCTGAATCCTTGATGCTCCTCCGCTGCTATTACCACCGACGATTAACGGCGGTGGTCCTTGAAAAGAAGCCGAATCGACGACGGAGATGTCGAACATCCTTCCGAGCTCGCCGGATTTCTTGATATCGCCTCCGGTGTAAGGCACAGCTCGAGCCGCCATTGTCGGTGGTCGCTCTTTTGGTTGCTCGAGCTTACCCGATACGTAGAGTCCATTTGGTAGCTGGTGGGATTGGATCCGACCCGCCATTTCTAGAGAGAGAGAGAAGCTAAAATGCAGAGAAACTTTACTCTTTGAGTGCTTCAGAAGAGAGAGAGAGAGAGAGAGTAGTCGCGCGTGTAGGTGTGAGTGGCAGTGAAGGTGGAGAGAAGAAGAAGAACGAAGGACGTGAAATGACGAAATGGGGTTTAGGAGAACTTTGTTATTACGAAGTTGCCACTGAGTCCTAAAAACAGGCGATTGCGTAATCTTTGAAGTAGCCAAGTTAGTTAGAGGTTTTGTTTCTGATTGGCTCATTTGTAACAGTAATCGCCTACAACAGTTGGCGCTTTTTTATTTTACAGTTTTTTCCTGTTTGTTCCAAGAATTTGCTAAATTACCCTTATATTTTTGTTGTTTATTTCTCTCTATGGAATTGTTTCTGATTTGAATTTTAGGCTAATCTCAAAAGACTTTAATTTAATCCATCTTCACGATGACCCAAAAAAAAAAAATCCATCTGCATATCGGACCAAGAAAAGGAGATTATTGGACTATATATTTATTATTCATTTATAATCTTGTACATATTTTACTAGTAATTGAAAATCATTAGCATTCATTCATTTCTTACATATGCTTATTATAAGCATATGTAAGAAATGAATGAATGGTGAATAAAGAAAAAGAAAAAGAAGAAGATAGTGTACATGTAAGTGTAGTCTAGAAAGAAGAAGACTTTCGAATGGTTGATAGAGTTTAGTAACTTTAAGATATAACCATTTTTTGTAAGTTATTATATTTTCAACGTAATTTACAAAATGACTGAAAAATTAATTTAATGTCAATTATTCAGAAACTTATTTAAAACAATGTATTATAGACAACACTTTCAAACTGTTCATGCACAGACTGGCTGCAATCCAAATATAATGATTTCAATTTGACCAATGCAATAAGAAAAAACCCCATCACATGTGAGATTTTAAGAACTACTATTTTGGACTATGGTCTTTGTATAGATTACAAAAAAGAGTATCAATGTCCAATATCTTTGCCTCGATAATTGGCACGATAAAGTTAGCCTTTGACCCTTGTCAATACAACCTCGAACTTCAAATTGAAAGATCCACATTTTTGTTAGTATTAGTCCTTCTTTCTTTTTTGTTCCAAAAGAAGATTATTAGAGTTTAGTTGTTGGAGTCACAAGAATTGATAGATTCGATTGATTTTAACAAATAATAGACTTCTCTTGGCGGTAGGACCATCTTCAACGGCCCAATGCCAGCATTTCAATAATCATAACAAGTTTTTTTTTTTTTGGTAGGCATAATCATAACAAGTTCATGCACGTATAATTGTTATTTTTCTTTTGCCTTGTTACTATATTGTCTAAATTGCATAATTTAATTTATATTACACGTGATCTAAGTCTATATAATCAAGTCCTAATGATTGCAGAAATTGAAGCACTCACTATAAAGATATACAGTCAGTGACAGTGCAGTACAATACAAATAGAGTTAGTAAAATGAAATAATTGAATCAAATTTGAATACTTGTTGACTCAGATTCTTCTTTTTAAAGCTGTCACTATAGTGTGAAGATTCTGTAATATTTGAAATGGTGAAAGGGTAATTGTTGAAAATCACTTAACAGTCGGTGGGTGCTGGGGTAGAGAATCCAAAGAGATCATATGGGCGCAATTGGGAAATTATGTGTTTAGACAAAAATATCCCTACAATATCATCAGACCATGCAAACTCATTTGGATTTCTTTTGGTCGGATCTAATAATATTTTACTATTTATATGGTTTCAAACTTAGATATCGACGTATATAATATGCTAAAACTTCATTATTCAGAATCTCAGATCGTTGTTTTTATATGGTGACTTATTACGGTATGATTTTTTGTTTTCTTTTCTACGAAAAATAATTTGTATAGTTACATAAACACAATTTCACAGAAATTTGTAAAAATTATAATGATGGCATTGGTATGCAAGTTTTGTTTTGGTCAGAAGAATTTTTACTGTTTTGGATAAAAGATTTTCCATTTTGAACACATCACAATTCGAGTTATGTAGTCACTTGATTTGTTGACTAAAATAAAAGAATTCTAGTGTTGACATATAATTTTTCAAATCAATGCAAAGTAACAAAATGTTTTGTAGTTAACAAAAGTAACCGTTTACATAACCAAACAAGACGATTAAACCAAAAACCGGCTTTCATGATAGAGAAACTGGACCAGAGATGAGCTGATGTTATCATTTTTCTTCTAATCTTGTAGGCAATAGGATGGTATTACCTTGAGTACAATGTTGCCTTTTAATACCATTTTAAGAAGAAGACGAAGAGCTCTGCATCCGTTGTTTGATCCATAACTCCAAATATTGCAGCTCCTTATTACTGATTGAGTGTCCAAGATCAGGATAAGCCTGCAGATAAACGAAATTTCTTCAGATTTCCATACTCAAGAATCGGTATCTACGATCCATGTGATCGGTATTTGAATTGTCTGCTTGTTAGGGTTTGATTTGGTTATTATTTCATACCTTGAATTCACAAGTCACACCAGCTTGTTGAAGAAAAGGAAGAGCTGCTTGACCAGCTTCGAATAGCACAGTCTTGTCATCAATGCCATGAGACCACAAGATTGGTGTCTGCATACGCAAACTATGGAGACTCAGAGACCCGAGAAACAATGACAGGAAAATCGACATTTACCCTTTACAAGAAACCGAAAAACGGATGAATAACCTTTTTAGCATCTTCGCTAAACTGATTGGTGATTGAAGAATTGAATGGAATCCATCCGCTAAAGACTGAACCTCCTCCAAGAGCTTTAGGGTAAAGAAGAACACTAGCCAAGGTTAATGCACCTGCAGAAAACCTTAGTCAGAAGTCGCAATGCAAGAAAATCAACACATTGTAGAGTCTTAGATCAGTAAGTAAATCCATGGAAATGTGTAGCTACGGGGGATGCAAAGAGAGAGAGATCACCTCCTTGGCTAAATCCACAGATATACACATTTTCTGGATTGATTCCTCCTGCAATCTCCTTATCTATAATGGCATGAACGTTCGTAACTGCTTTAAGCAAACTGCTTTCATCTTTTGGAGATCCCTAATACATAAAAAGTTACTTACCTGATGGCATAAACTATCTCTAGAACAGAACTAACTCCTTAATAAGTTAAAGCAGCCTGTTCTTTGTACATTATAAACCTTAAAATCTACTGAATAAGTACTGATTACCCAACTAAATTAGAAAATCTGGAGCTACAAATTTAGAAAGTATTGTCAAGAAGAGTTACCGCAGTAAGAGGAAGCTCAGGGATATCAAACCACGAAGGCATCACTGCACCATCTGCACAAGACAAATTAAGAGGCAAAGGCACAGACTTTAGCAAAGATCTTTACTCAGTTTTGTGTACCAATGAGGGAGGACTTAGATGGCTAAGCTATAATTTGATAAATGAATCACACATCAAAGCAACAATCATGCTAAATCCAAAAGAAAGAAACTTTTCCTAAGAATGAGGACTAGACCTAAAAGTCCGAATTAGGTTAGGAGAATGCAAATTCTTTAGCTCAATCAATTCATAAACGATGATCAAAACCTGGAGAAGAAGGAAACACACAACACCAACTCTAATGATCCTCAAATAAGATAGAAAAAGTCAATCGTACAATTGCAAGAGACTGGATTTGGTGGAGCAGAAGGGAAGAGCCATTTAGTGTTCCTAAACTCCGGTGACCTGAAAAGTGTTTTGATGGGTTCGTTGGCAGGTCCAGAATCACCAAGCCCGTGAAGCCATAAGATGAAGGTTCGAGCCATGGAGTCTGGGTTCCGTGAAGAAGAAGTGAAACCAGAGGTAGATGATAAGTCAGATTTGTTTTGGAAGAAGATTACGAAGAAGAAGACAGAGCTCAATAGAGCGATAGTGAGAAGAACGATCGGCTTCTTCAGTCTACTACTTGTTCGCATGCCTTCACCATTTTTCTTTGGAGATCGATCTCTCAAAAATGTTTTTGTTTCGGTCGGAGATGATGTCTAAATGACTAAAATGCCCTCAATGCTGTTCTTCATGTGTGTACTCAAGATTGCAAATGTAATCCTCCAATGCTTGCATATACATAATTCAAATCGATACAATCACAAACTCTTATGTATTCAGCAACAAAGTAACCAAACAAAAGTGCAATGACAGAGATACCAGAAGGACACTGCAGACCAAACCAGATGATGAGCTTAGAATTATCAATCTTCTTCTTGTCTTCATAGACGATATGTAGGTATAACTATTACTACCTTGAGTGGAACATTTCTTTAAGACAGTTAAGATGAAGACAAGTAGACGACGAACGTTTCATTCGTCGTTTGATCCATGACTCTATATACTTCAGCTCTTTGTTGCTGATCGAGTGCCCGAGACCCGGATATGACTGCAGATAAACAATTCTCCTTAGACGAATATTGGTACATTAGATTTCTATCATGCATTTTGTCTTGAAAAAGGGTTCTGATTTGAATATACCTTGAATTCACAGGTAACACCGGCTTCTTTGAGAAAAGGAAGAGCAGCTTGACCAGCTTCAAAGAGTACCATTCTGTCATCAGTACCATGAGACCACAAGATTGGTGTCTGCATATTGCAAAATCTCAAGACTCAGAAACACGAAAAACAGCGATAAGAGATCAATGTTAATTAGAAAACATAAGTGATGAACCTTCTTAGCCTCTTCAGGAAACTGACTGATGACTGAAGAACTGAATGGAACCCATCCGCTTAGAACTGCTCCACCTCCAAGAGTTTTTGGGTAAAGAAGAACATTAGCCAAAGTTAATGCTCCTGCAAAAAAAAAAAATCTTATTAAGAGCCACAATGCATAATTCACAAGACATAAGTGGATTCAGACCAATATAAAAAGGTCTCTCTACAAAGACTATTGAAAAGAAAATGAATCAAAGAAAAGAGAAACAACCTCCTTGGCTTAATCCACAGATAAACACGTTTTCTGGATTTGTTCCTTCTGCAATCTCCTGGTCTATAATAGCATGAACGTTCTTAGCTGCTTCAAGCACGCTGCCTTCATCAATTGGAGAGCCCTAACATACATAAAAGTTACATAGTTCAAGTGATGGCATAAAATCTCTTGAAAATGCAATAGTGGTCTGTTCTTTACACATTATAATATAAACCTTCAATCTGCAGAACAAGTTCATAAATAATTTGCCAATTCATATTATAAGAGAGGTTAGATAGATCAAGAGAGAAGTAAAGTAATACCACTTTAAAAGGAAGTTCAGGAACGTCAAACCAAGAACGCATCACCGCACCATCTGCACAAAAAAAAGAAGAGAGAGGCCTAAGATTTTTTCAGAGACATATAGATTAAGAAGCATGACACCAACAGATACCACAGAGAAATCGAAGATAAACAAATTGTGTACATTTGACTCAATGTAATTCAAATGAACAGAATCTCCTTCAAATCAAGGAACAATTTGGCTAGGTCAATCACCCAACAAAGGAAAATAATACTAAATCAAAATGGAATGAAGAGGAGACCAAACACTATAGCCCAAATGAAACCATAAACCATGAAAAAGGAAGAAGTAGGAAGATCGTACTGTTGCAGGTAACCGGATTGAATGGAGCAGAAGGGAAGAGCCAACTAGCGTTACTTAACTCGGGGGATTTTAATTGTGTTTGGATGGGTTCATTAGCAGGTCCCGAATCGCCCAACCCATGAAGCCACAAGATGAATGTTCGAGCCATCGTGTCTGAGTTCCGAAAAGAAGAAGAAGAGATAAATCTTATAAGTAAAGGTCCAGATTTTCAATAGTATGATCTTGAGTGAAAAACGATAGGCTTCGTCTGTGTATTCGTTTGACATTTCAATGGCGATTTCTCTCTCACTCACAAAGTCTTCGCGACGACTTTCAAAGTACAATGTCTACTGGGACAAGAGATAAAATTACGAAAATACCCTCAATTGTCGTTTTATGTTTGAAACGACATCGTACGAAGCTGCAGCCCTTTTTGTTAGTGTTTTTAATTTAACCCAGAGACAGAGAGAAGGGAGAATCTCGGGAGAGACATAAAGCGAAGATTGGTTGGTGAAGTTGTTGGGGATTGGGCAAAAAATATCGATGGCGACTTCGAAGCTTCAAGCTATTTGGAATCACCCTGCCGGACCTAAAACCAGTGAGTCAATTCCACCATGATTAGCTTTTTTCCCATCGGTGTCGCTTATTGATGATTCAATTATGGATAATTGAGCAATCTACATGTCTGAGAATTTGTTGTTTTGTTAGTTTTGTTTCCACTATTTTTGTCTTTTTGATTTTTCTGGTGAATCCTGATTTGTTTTCTACTTTCAAAAAAACTTTTTGATGGATTTTGACTTTCGATTAGTTCTTGAAATGATTGCTTTTGTCTCTCTACAAAGATGTTTAATTTTCGATTCGAGAATGGATTGATTTGTTGCTTATGGTTCAGGAGAATCATTCTTTGCTTTCTAATGGGTTTCTTGAGTGATAATATAAATTGATCATCTTCGAGTTTAATAAAAGCTGATTTGAAATCAAACAAGTGCTCTTTACTAGCTTGATAATAGTTTTTTCAAACGTTTGGATCATTTTTGGTGATTAAGACTCTCATTTTGTCTTCCTCAGTTCATTTCTGGGCACCAACGTTCAAGTGGGGTATTAGCATTGCCAACATTGCAGACTTTGCTAAACCTCCAGAGAAACTTTCCTATCCTCAACAAATCGGTATGCATTGTATCATGTTCTTAATGTGCAGAAGGTCACACCTCTGTTTTGAATTGTGGACTTTTCTAGGCTTTTATTCTCCATAGTTGTTATTGTTCCTTGATCAGTTTCATTGTGTTGCAATGCCTCAATGTACTTACAATATTCTAATATATTTCTTGCGTCAGCGGTTACATGCACTGGAGTTATTTGGTCTCGCTACAGCATGGTAATTAATCCGGTAAGTTTCTTTACATTCCTTCTGTTAATGGCTTCACAGGGAAGATATGTTTTTTTTTTTTTTTATACTGAGTGTTTTGGGATCAAATTGTTTTTCTCGCATTTGAGCTAGTACTGTAATACTCTCTTATCATGATCTGCCCCCTTGCTTTTGCGATGCGATGTTAGGCTTAGCTGACTTCTTTGATTCCGACTTTTGTTTACAGAAAAACTGGAACCTCTTCAGCGTTAATGTTGCTATGGCAGGGACAGGCATATACCAGCTTGCTCGTAAAATTAAGTAAGATCAAGAGAACATCTGATTCTTCTTACATTACATGAAAAATGTGCACGAAATGCTCTTTAAATTATGTTAATAATGCTTAAGACACATCTTAGTCAAGTAAGCATTTGGTTGATTAATTGATGTCTTCTCCCTTGCCAAACTGATACACTTGCTTTGATTTACAGACACGATTTTGCAACCGAAGCCGAGCCTGCTGTTGCAAACGAATGATTATGATGACGAAGCTGAGCTTTTAAAGGAAAACTGGATATCATCTTGCTTCTGTTTGAAAATCTAGTTCAAGATATTTGATTTTCTTTGCATTCCAAGTTTTTCTGACCGGATTACGATATCATTTTCAAGGTTTTTAAGGATTCCTGTTTGATATTTGTTCAAATGATAAAGGAGGTCTAAAAGCTCCCTCTCTTCCTGTGCTGCTTTGAAAGTAAATCATTAAGTACTCCACAGAGAAATTAAATGTTCTGAATGTTGAATCAAAACTAAAATTTCAGACAAAAAGACAAGAAATTTCCTATGAATTGAATGATCAGTCTGAATCAATGAGCCGTTTCCATTAACAACAAAAGGAATAAGCCATGGGGTTACAGACCAAATCAAGGATCTGCGTCCATATCTAATGACTGCTTTGTTCTCTCTGTATGTCTTTCTTCCTAATGATATTGAGAGTTGAGGGCGAGGAACCAAACCCGATGCACCCAGTTTATCATTCTTCTAATGGCTTGTCCTCTTTCGGGGCGTTTTCAGCATCCGCATCATTTGCATTTAAGTTCAGTCCTAAATCCACAGTGCTTTCGTTCAAATCTTGTCTCACTACTTTTTCTTCATCATCCTGTACTATTTTTTCTTTATCCTGCTAATAAGAGACAGATGAGAGGTTCAGTATCTACTTTGCCTAATAACAAAAGATCACGAAGCATTCTTTATTCAAGTTGGAGGCAATAAGATTCAACACAATGACAAGGGAAATTAGTCAAGATTACGATAATAGCTGGCAAAAGAACAAAGTCTAGAAACCAAGGCTCCAAGTAATAAGTCAGGAATCCATGAATGAACATGAGGTTATCAACAGAAACACTGATGAAGCAGATAATATTACATGTCGAATGCTTTACCTGAATATCTTCCATCGGAACATCATTGATGTCAGGCTTTTCCTCCACTTCCGTTTTCTTCTCGCTCGACTCCTCTACAGTTTTTTCCTCATCAACCTTTTCTTCCTGCTCAACCTTATTATCCTCTTCAATCTTGTCGTCCTCCTCAATCTTATCATCTTCCTCAATTTCTGTAATCTCCTTCTTCTGTTCCTCAAGCACAGCAATCTGCACCATTTTAAATCACACTTCACTTCAAATGAATCACTAGTAATCAAAACTAAATTAGATATACAAAGTTTCAAATTCCAAATTATAATCCAAAACGATTCAATGATACTGCAAAACGGCTTCTTAAGCAAAGATCATCTACATCAACCAGTGATAAACCTTCTGATTCCATCTCACTAATCATTCTCAAATCGCTGCTACAAGAAACTCTAATCCAGTCCAATTACTCAAAAGAATTCAAAATGGCGAAACAGAGACATAAGCCAAGTCCAATTATTACTCAACATTGCCCAAAACTGATCCTTCTGTCAATGTTAATGAAACCCTAATCACTGTAGCAGTCACCTAATCAGACTTCTAGCAGAAACGTTATAGCTCAATCCAATGCAACAAGACATTGAGCCAAAAATCACCAAACCACAAACTAACCGGAACGTATTTGAATCTACGCCGGGGAGGATCTTCTGCCGCCGTCGTCACCGTATCTTCACTCGGAGAATTACTCTCACTTTTACCATCTTCATTCCCGTTACCGTTCTGAGACAATGGCGCCCACTTATACAACAACAAATGCGATCCATTACTGCCGTCAGAATTCGAACCACCGTTAACGACGGAAGCTGCTACAGCGGCGGAACCAGAGGAGCTATTATTGTCTTTCTTAGTGGAGTGAGAGACGTGAACCCACTTCTTCTTCCACTTCCTCACCGGACCGGTGAATACCGTAGCTGGTCCGTACCGAGTCGAGGACCTACCTAACCGTGCCCCAACTCCTTCCATAACAAACTCACTGATCAAAATCCAAACTTTCAAATCCCAATCCGGTTAAGAAATTTAATTTTTGTTTAGAGAAAAAAAAAAAAAAACACTATATTTCGTCTCTTCCACCGTAAGACGACGAAAGAACGAACTCAGATCTCAGTTTTTTGCGAAGCGACCAGTTTTATTGGTTTGCTGCAAGTAGAAGACTCTCGCTGAGCTAGAGAGTTTTGACTATTGACACGTGTATGATACTTATAGGCTAATCTAATTACACTTAACAATAATTGCTTTTGCTTAACAAAACGAAAGACTCAGCTAATCGTTTGACCTAGAAACGCCCTCAGAGAGAGTTTTTCGGAAAAGACATTTATACCCCTGATTTTCTCTCCTATATAAAACATCGCTTCATCATCTTAGCTAATACAATCTCTTTCATTGCGACGCCTAGGTTTAGGGTTTTCACATCAATTTCTTCAGCGTATTTAGTTTTGTTTGTTGTTTATGTGAATTTGATTAGCGTATTGTCTAGTTCGTAGTATTGGGGCTACATTGTACCGAGAGAAGGGTTCGATTTCGATACCTTTATTCTTGAATTTGCCAAAATAACGGCTGTAGCTAGATCGAACAAGAAGCTATCTGGCCGGTGGTCGCGAGAGGGATTTAGATCTCTCCGGTCGATTCATCTGCTTACCGAGTTTCTTACATCTTTTATTTGTTTTCTTCATTGATGTTTTTATTGTGAATTTTTACTTTGTAGATTATTTTGATTTCTGAGAAATGATATTAAGAATAGAGAATAGCAGATTTAAAGAAGTGCCATTTTCGAAAGATCTTTCTCGTAGATTATATTTAGGGCTCCTTTCCAGGCGATCTGTTCTCTTGATGAACAGTTATGTGTCTTATTGGTGCCTACATTTATATTGCAAGTTTAATCACGATCTGATTTTGAGAATTATTTTCGTTTACATTGTTTAAATTTAACCATAAGTATATAACAGTGGATAAAGATTAATTTGATTTGGTAGTGACCTGAATAAATTATGTGACTAGATGTCAGTAGGTAAATTGTTCTATGAGAAATGTTGCAATGAAAATTGATTTGGTTGGACGTAATCAAAAGAGAAGAGTGGGTGAGTTTCTAGTTCTGTTTGTTTTAACCAAATTAAAACGGGTCTAAAACTGCAGATCTAGTTCATCACAATTGCTGCATATGAAACATTATTTGCAATGACCAAAGAGTTGGCACAAAAATTACGTGAACTCTTAACCATTTTCAGCGCCAGAAATAAAACTGAGTAAACTTCTTGATATATGGAAGAACAACCCCTTAAAACATGAGATAGACATCCTATAAAAGTTAGTTTGTTCTCGATATAAGCAATCCCATGTAAAGGATTTGAAAACAATTGGGCTTGAGTGTTTTTTGAACTTTGTCTTAACTCCCAAGTACAAAACTAAAATATAACGGTAGAGCTTGAACCTTCTAGTACACTGCATTCTTGTCTCAGCTATAATAATAATGAAAGCGCAAACATAAAAGCTTTCTCACCCTACAAAGCTTACTAGTAAACCATTAGTAAAACAGAAAATGTATGTCAATGTACAGTTATGGTTAAATATTTTGTTTCAAAATATAAGGCGTTTTAACTAAAAACACGCCGATTAGGAAAATCTACTTTTTAAAAGTTCAGCCAATCATAAAAGAGACCGCATAATAGAAATAATTATAAAATATTAAAATAATATATAATTTGCATAAAAACTTGAAAAAAATGTGGGTTTCTTCTGTTTAGTTTAGAAACCATCTCATGTTAAAAATAACATCTAGTCATAGTAAATGATTGGTTGATATGCCTAAATCTGTGCGAACTTTTATGTCTCCAAGTAGCAAAAACCATTAAAATAAAAAGTGATTTATATGAATTTTCTAATCATTTTGTTTATCCGCATTAAGTAAAAAAGAACAAAAAAGGAGGACCCAAAACACAAATTAACTAATTCATCGAATTTTACCAAATTCCATGTCGACGGACGTGTGGTTTAAGTGTGCGCCGTTCTTAGGTTTTTGATTTTTGATTTTCTTAAACTTAATCCAAAATTCCGGCAGGTAAAAAGACGGAAATACCCCTCAATTGCCAAAATTCTGAAAAAGGCCCAAGAGAGAGAGAGAGAAGACGAAACGATCGTCAGAGAGAGAAAGGTCTCATCCATTATCACTCGCAGAAGATTTGTTCTCATCTGATTCCTCCGATCTGCCATGGCTCTGCTTCGCTAACACTAAGAAGATTCACACACGCGGTGAAGGAGGGAGGAGGATAGATCTCTTTTTCCGTCGCGAGAAAAAAAAAAACGGTTTGTTTTTTCTTCTCTTGCTGTTCATGTGGATCGGGTTTTTGTTTTCTGGATCAACGAGTTTCGTATCTTTGATGTTATGGATCTGAATTTCTCTATTGGATCCCTCTAGTTCTGACCTGAGCAAGCATTTGTGCGGTACTGTTGTTCTTATGACCTAGATTCGTTGTTTTAGATGTTGAATTTAGTGTTTCAGTAATCGATTGATTTGATTTCTCTGGGTTTTGGTGATGATGGATCGACGTGATGATTTGGAGATATTCATTGTTCCTGTACATTGTTGTTAAGATGTTTTCAAGTTTCCAGTGTCTTGATTATTCACTGTTTGTGTGTGTTTGATACTGTAATTACATATTATGGGAAAAGTTTGGAATCTTAACTGCTACCATTAGCGTGTTGGTTTGTTTAATCATTACTTAACATACTTATTATAGTATGTTGCTTGTTTCTGCAAGTTAAATGTTATTGGCTACTTTTGGAGCCTTGAGAGATACCTCACGCTAGTTCTTGTTCTTTCTTTTGCATTATTTCAATTCATAAATGAATCAGAAGCTTTTCATGTTAGTGTTTCTTTACTTGTTCTGTTTGGTCTTTTCAGATGGTTTCTGACAGTTTTGCATCCTTTTTGTTTGTTCTTTAGTGTCTAGAGGCTTTCATTAAGGAGTTGATTCATACTGAGAGAAGATAGAAATGGCAGATGGGATATCGAGCTTTTGGGGTCCTGTGACTTCTACTATAGAGTGTTGTGAGATAAACTACGCCTACTCATCCTACATTGCAGAGTTCTATAACACTATCTCCAATGTCCCTGGAATCCTGTTGGCTCTCATTGGTCTTGTCAATGCATTAAGGCAACGGTTTGAGAAGAGGTTTAGCATTCTTCACATATCCAATATGATACTTGCTATCGGCAGCATGCTCTACCATGCCACTTTGCAACATGTGTAAGTACCAGTCATTTTCCACTTCCATTCTCGGTCTCTTGACTTTTATGGGCAGGTTGATTCATTATGACTTAAATGTACTTGTTTGATTGATGCATAAATGTTTCTAGACTGTCACTTTATGCTTCTATTCTTGGTATGTTGACTTTTACTGGCATGTTGACTTATATATAGTTGTTTGATTGGTGCATAGAACTTTTCAGATTGTTATTTTGGATTATAATTCTCGGTTTCTTGATTTCAAGCAGGCAACAACAGAGTGATGAGACCCCAATGGTGTGGGAGATACTTCTTTACATGTACATCCTTTACTCACCAGATTGGCATTACAGAAGTACAATGCCCACTTTTCTCTTCCTCTATGGTGCTGCCTTTGCCATAGTCCATGCTTACCTCAGGTTTGGCATTGGTTTCAAGGTCCACTACGTGATCCTTTGCCTTCTATGCATCCCTCGGATGTATAAGTACTACATTCACACAGAGGACACAGCAGCCAAAAGGATTGCAAAATGGTATGTTGCTACAATCTTAGTGGGAAGCATATGCTGGTTCTGTGACCGTGTCTTCTGCAAGACGATATCTCAGTGGCCTGTGAATCCTCAGGGCCATGCTCTGTGGCATGTGTTCATGAGTTTCAACTCTTACTGTGCAAACACATTCTTGATGTTCTGCCGAGCTCAGCAACGTGGATGGAACCCAAAGGTAAAATACTTTCTGGGAGTTCTTCCTTATGTCAAGATCGAGAAGCCAAAAACACAGTGAGAAGAAAATGGGGATAAAAAGCCCAGAAGAAAGAAGAAGAAGATCATAAATATAGTTTTTGTTCAACGTTTTGTCAGAATCTCGACATGGGTTTTTTATTTTATTTTTTGGAAGTGAAACTCTCTAGATACAGTCTAGATCTTTTTTTTTCTTTTTCTCTGTATTAGTTATTGGGATTTGCTCTTAAGAAGAATTGAGATTGATTTTTAACTTGCTAAAGAAGCTCTTGTTTCTACTTTTGTGTATCTTCTTAAGTTGACATCATTTTCTAACTATATAACTCAGTGTACCATTTTCTGCTTCTCTTACTCTATTTTCAGCTTAAACAGGTCTAAAACTTTGATTCAAGGTCTTGATTTTGAAAACATCTTAAAAGAATAAGTTCCATTGTAAGAGAATTGTAGTGAGCTTCTTTTCTTTCATAAAGGCGTACCATTTACTATACAACAAACTTATAACTCTACTTTTCCTTTTTTTTTTTTCTCTTTTATATGATTTCTAACTTTTTGGTAACACAGAAGAAGAGTAATATGGTATACAATGAAGGGTTGTGATGATCTAAGATCCAATAACCTTTTCCTGCAACATTTGCCCAAGCTTCATGAATAGAGCTTGTTGTTCTTCCAACGTCAGGTTTGTGATTATCTGTAATGAGTAAAAATCATTAAAAAGTCAAATAAGAGATCTTACTTAATGTATTATTGTGGTTGTTCTTCTACAGTAAACTTTTACCTGGTCTAAGAGCTTATCCACAGAGAGGACTTCAGGTACAACAAACGATTGATGATATATATATGCAAAAACAGCCATCACCATCTAAAAAAACCCAAAAGAAATATCATATCAGATATAATAAATCAGGTATAATTCTGAACTATTTAAGGAGGACATAAGAATGTATTGAAGTCAATGCGACCATATATACCTGACAATCCATTCTATCTGTGATTCCGCCATGTCCGGGAATACTATCACCAAAGTCCTGAATGTTGGAGAACATTTAACAGTGGATCAATGTTGCATAGATATTGCGGTTATATACCAAATATCATCTGAAAACCCACCTTGATTTTGAATGCTCTTTTGAAACCACTGGCAAAGAAGCCACCAAAAGGAGCTATTATAGAGGCGAACAATCCAAGACACAGAGCATGCCACTGAACTGGTAGAATAGAAATTTCCTTCCAAGGGAGCTGTAAAGTAAACACCTTTCGTTTAGAAGCAATAAACGTGGCTCGAGTAATTGTTTAGTACTGAATTATAGCTTTTACCCAATCAGAAATCCATCCTGGTAAAGCATGTGTCTCTTGCTTGAACAATGGACCGGGGTCACAGTGGAGCCAGCCTGTCGATAGATCCTGTATTTATAACCACCCAATAACATAATGGTTAGTACTACTGTGCTTGTATGGAAAAGAAGGCAGGACATGATTAAAACTTCCAAGTACCTCTCTGGGACATGTCAGCCACAGGAAACGACCCATTATATTTGCAAGCTGCAAAAACAAGCAAGATTATTAACCAATTTCTACTCATCAACAAACAGATACTTCTTAGCCCATAAAACAAGCTTACCAGGAATGCAGAAATCACTGTGGTAATAGAAGCTCCAATGAAACCCTCCCATGTTTTCTTTGGTGATAACTTGATCAATGGTGTTCTTCCAAAGAAGAAACCACAGATATATGCAAATATGTCATTGATGACGATAAGTGATGCAGGAAGAAGAAACCTGTACCAGCAACCAGCACATTATGTAAATAGACTTTTACAAATATTAAAAAAAAATCCACATATCCTCCAAACAAACGTTTAGTCAGGTCATAACCAAATGCCAGCACAATGCAACGCAAAATTCCTTGATATAAAAGAACATAACACAAGAAGAGAGCGCAGAGGAAACAAGCAAGAAGCTTTAAAGGAATATGTGACTACCAGAAGATTCCTTCAAAGATGTTGGCCACGGTAAATGAGGACTGAGTAAACACCACAATTAAGATCATATGTGTCCATGCATATTGGCTAAACTGATACTTGTACATCTTCTTTTTCAGCGTCAGAATAAACCAAACAAAGCCTACAATTCCACAGCCAAAAAAGGAGAGATTATGTTAAGCAAAGCTAGTGAACAAAAATCATTGCTCCTCAATAGTAATGAGTAAACCCAAAATGTCATAAAACAACTAACCAGAAATATACAAGGAGTAACAGATTGCCATGTGGTATTTGATGAGGCTGGTGACCAGTCGATATAGGACTTTGTCTGGAGTCACAGTGTTGACTAGCCGTTGACTAAGTATTCGACCATATACAAAGAGCATTGCTGTGAAAAAGAAGTGCCTACACAAGACAAAATTGGTATGTCAAATGCACAATCGTTTCAACAAATAGAAAAGTACTAAAAATACCAGTTCCGCATCAAGCACATAAAAGCAAAAGATAAAGAACTCAAAAGCTTGAGTAGAAGTGAGAAAGTGTGATTACCAATTCAGTAATCTAAAACCAGGGAGCTGTTTGTCTTCATGAGTTTTTCTTAGCAAATTGAAAAGTTCTCGTGCCATGAATATCTGAATAACAACCACCATGGCTGTAATGTAGAGATGACCCAGGTAAACTATTAGAGCAAAACCACCAATCATCCAGACAGTGGAGTATGCTCGAATGAGAAACGATTTGTATTTTTTGCTGTCATTGACAAGTAAATGGCTTCCATTTGGTTTGCCTGCCCCTGCACCAACCTAAAAAGCCAGAAAATTGGTTCAATCTCCAATCAATATGAAGCAATAACTAAAAAGCTTATTAACTCTTTTAATAGCTTCTACGTGACAGAAATAGAAAACACAAGAAAAGCAACTTAACTAAATACCGATTTGCTTTGACCTGTGTCTCTACTAAATAGACAGTCTATTTGGAAAATCTGAATAAGAGCAAACATACATCACTGTTTCGCTTCCGATGCCGAACACGAGTGGTAGGTGCTGATGGAGCATCACCAGCAATTTCCTTTTGCATGTTGCCCAGAGTTCGAAACAAAAACACTGACTACCTGTGAAAAAAATTAAAATTGAGCTTCACTACATCCAGGATCACCATAGCCTAACATCAAAATACAAATTGAGAAAGTAGAAAAACTGAGAAAAACTCTCCTGATATAATCCAACACACTAAAATGGCAAATACAAACCATTGATAAGCCAACGAAGTAGAGTAAATATAGAATCAAACTCATCTGAAACAATCAAATCAATGACATGTATCTATATATCACCAGAATACTCCAAACTCTTTCAGCTTTAAATGCTTCAGTTACAAACAGGAAACAAAACCACCAGAATATTAAACAACGAGTTCATTTTTTGAATCTTGTACACTCTCATAGGTAATTGAGCAGCAAAAAAATCAAAAAAACCAGCAATTCAAACTTGAATTTCAGAATTCTCCACGAGTATACGCTCACTGTAGGTTTGTTCATTCACAGAGAAATACAATTAAACAGGAAAAATCAGACAATTACGAGCAAAATCACAGAGAAGAATGCAAAATCAGGAATAAAACCCAAATTCAAGTAACCGAGATTCTTAGGGCATAGTGAAATGATTTCACTAATGGTGTCAGAAATCAGACGAGCTAAGAAGGATATCAAAGATGAACAATACTAGTTTCTCGTGGAGATCTGAAACACACATATATATATACAATACTATGTAAAATATGATACATGAATGAGGTAAATAAGGCAGAGACAGTGAAACCTGTTTTTGTGAGCTCAATTACTACTCTGCGAGAGCGAGAGAGGATGAGAGAATCAGAAGACGAAGAAGCAGAAGAGAGAATCGAGTTAAAGAAAGAAAAGTAGAAGACGAAAAGGATTCTCTTCTTTCTCGAATCTTTTAACTTTTTATTCTAGAAGCCACAATAAAT